GAAAGTCGTGTGGATGTCGTCGAAGTCGCTGCTCGGTATCGCGTGCACGAAGACCTCTTGTCGTGCTGGCGGCACTGGAAGCGGACGCGCTGGTTTGTGCTTGCCGATGCTTGTGTCGGACTGGAAGTTGGGATTCTGATCATGCAGGTCGGGCGCCTGCGAGCCAAAATGGCTAGTCGCCCTTGTCCACAGGTCGAGCTTGGGTCGGTCGAGTCGGGGTGGTGTATGTAACCAGTTCGTCTCGTCGCCTGGCTTCGCCCTTGGTGAGGTCGGCGTGACACGCTGAGTGCTCTCAGAGATGCTAGAGCGAGGTAGGTCGTGTCTCGTCGATGTGTCAGAGGTGGCGGCGTAGGAGCCAGGTGGCGCTCGTGGAGGTGTCAACCTGCGCGCGGTGCCATCTGGGGGGACCCTCCCCAGTATGGCAGTCGGGCTTGGGTGGGGGCGCGAACCGCTCGAGTAGATTTCCCACTCTTCGGTCGGGCGGCGCCTATGGTGGATAGTTGTTGGTGGTCCAACGTTTGCGTCGTGCTGGTAGTGTGAAGCAAGTGAAACTGCTGTCGTTGTCCGTCGGGTCTGATCTGCTATCCCCAAAGCAGGAGTCAGTGCACGTGGACTGGTGGTGTGTGTCGGAAGGTGGCTGTCAGCAGTGCAAGTCACCTGCACCCCCTGGGTCGTCAGGTTGGTTGCTGTCTGCAAGCTAGTGGGGTCTGCTGTTGCGGAGAGAAGGTGGCAAGGTCGGCTGTCTATGTTGCCTGGCGCTCGGTGCTGATCCGCGGTCCCCGAAGCGGGTGTCAGCCTGTCGAGGTCAGTCGTCGTAGGCTTCCCTAGTGGAAGTCGGGGTGGGTGTGCATGTCTGAAGCTGCAAGTTACCTGCACCGCAGGGGTCGCAAGGTTCGTTGCTGCGTCTGTGACATTGTGATGCTGTATGGCGCTGTGCCGATAGTTACGTGTGGTCGCTTGAGGCCGACCAGGGGCCTGTTGCTCTGGTCTTTTTCGACGGGTCCGATGAGCCAGAGCGCCCTCATCGGGGTCGGTCGTATCTAGTTTTTTGAACGTAGCGCGGTGTCCGATCCTTCATCGTCGGGATCGGCACGGAGAGGGACGCGGTCGGATATGTCAACGAAGCCGTCGCCGCTGTCGTGGATACGAACCTTCCGTGGTGGTCGTGATGTGGAGTCCTGTCTCTTGAGGGCCGATCGGGTACGTGAGGGTGGCGCTGACTGGGCCCTGTCTGGCGTTCCCATATGGAATCTGGGTGGAGGGATGATGGGGCTGTAGGCTTGGGTTGGGGTGATGCTGGTTATCGGTCGGGTCTTGGGCGTGGTGGGTGCTTCGTGCTCGTCGTCGCTGAGATCGATGAGAATTGTGGTTAGGGGCGTGGATCGCTGTTGGTCGTCGGGTGTCGATCTCGTATCGGGGGGGGCGGACATGGCACGTACCTCGGGGAAGATGATGTGTGGGGTGGGGGGAGTGGCTTGCGCAGCTGGGATGGGGGTGTCGGTGCCTTCGAGGTCGGAGTCGTGGTGAAGGTCGGGAATGGGCGTTGACTGTCCGTCGTCGTGCTGAGAGAGGTAGCCGTCGTCGGCGATGGGCGTGGGAGAGCACGAAGATCTCGGAGAGCTCGATTGGTGTGCTTGTGCATCGCCGTGGTGTGCTTCAGAGGGCTTGTCGTGGTCGGCGTCGCTGAGTGGGGCGATACTGGCTGGAGGGTGCGTGGGCGTTCTGTCGTGGGTGTGGTCGGGGTTTGGGGCGAGTGGTGAAGTGGGTGGTGCGGCTGCAAAGCCGAGGTCTCGTAAGCTCCATGCGTCTGAGTCGGACGTGGAGTGAGCTGCGTTCGGTGGAGAGCTCATCTGTCGTAGCTGCTCGAGGTAGATGTCGGCGTGTGGGTGAGGCTGCTCGTAGGGGCCTGGGATGATCGCGGTGAGGGCGCTTTGAATCTCGCGGTGGATGCGCTTCTCCTCTGAGTCAGCTAACGCCTGCTGTCTGTTCTCCTCCTCGTTTCTCTCGCTGAATCTCGTGTCCAATTCTTGCAACAGTTCGAGATCAAGAGGGTCATGAAGAAGCTCGGCTTGTCGAAACTCACGTTGCATTTCCTCCCTTTCCTTTATTCGCATCTCCTCGGTCGTCGCCAAGTGGCTGCTGTACCTGTCGTGGAGCTGCTGCTCGGTGAGGTGAAGGTTGGCACGTTCGCCTTGGAGTCGGGCTCGCTCGTGCTGGTGCTCGGTGCGAATCGTGGCTGCTTCGTGTTGTTGCGCACGCAGTTCACCGTACTCCTCGAGGATCTTCTCTTTGGCTTGCATGAGTGCCGATGATTCCGCATGAGCCCTGCAGTTGATTTCATGAAGCTGTTGTTGCTGAGTCAGTCGAAGTGCGTCTTCTTGTTGCTGCCCTCTCATCTCGTGCTGGAGTAGGAGGTTGTGAGCGCACTGAACTTCCTCCTGTTGAAGGCGGTGCTCGGATTCACGAATTAGATGCTGGAGCCAAAATGGCTTAGCCTCCCGTAGTTCATGTTGCTGTACTGCTTCCCGCCGCGCAAGGTGACCGCGTGCGGCGTCGTGAAGTAGTTGGTGCTGTTCGAGCTCGGTCTTCATGCGATGTGCCTGTTCAGCTTCATCTTCCTGACGTCGTTGTTCAGACTGTCGTAGGAACCGTTGTACTTGCTGATGTTCTTGGTGGCGGCTGCGCACGTTGATCTCGTCTATCTCCTCCTGGAAGCGGCGCTGGAGTCGTTGCTCGTGGTGCTGTAGTTCGAGATGAAGCTCGTTGAAGGCCTTCCGAGACGTGTGTGCTTCCATGCGCGCGAACTCCTCCCGCAACTGTTCGCGGTGCTCGGATTGTCGGAGATCAGCTTGTTGGTGGAGGTGAGCTAGGTGGTGCTGATGGAGTCCCGTGTGTTGTCGCTGCTGGTCCACCTTTTTGGAGAGGTCTGTGATCATCTCGAGCAGCTCTTTGTGACCTTTTTGGTGTGGGTCGTCCTGCTGTCGAAGTGGTGCTGCTGCTGGTGCTGCGTACTGCTGGGGTCGATGGTCTTCGCGCTGTCGTGGGTGAGGTGTCTGTGTCCGAGTCCTGCGCCTGTTGTGGTGGTCCTTCTCTCTCTCGTCATTGTCGCTGTAGAAGTCGTCGTACTCGAGGTCGGATGTGGCGTCGTCCCTCTTCAACTTCGACTCCTGGAGTAGAGCCCGTAGTATCCTCAAGCTGCCCTCCGTGTTGTCGAACTCGGTCTGCATCTTCCTGATGTCGTCCTTGAGCGCATTCTTTCGCCTGACCGTGGTGTCGATGCATCGGCGGTAGTAGTGCACCCGCTCGTCGGGAGACAACGTGAGGAGGAGCATTGCCTTGTTGACAGACAGCTCGGCGACGATCTTGGAATCGTCGACGCCGACGGCGCGCGCGCCCTGAGCTTGGTCTGCCAACCGAGCGATGCGTCCGCGCTTGGTTGTCACCCAAAGGCGGCGCATGTCCTCCTCCAGCGGGGGCGTAGAGAAGCTCTCGTGGGACTGCATGCGCACGTCGTCGGCCGGGAGGACCTGGTCGAGGATCTCGCGCTGCTTCTTGGAGAACTGGAAGCCGTCGAAGAAGTTGTGCGCGCTGTAGTGCTTCCTGCTCTGCGTCCGTGTCGTTGTGCGCGGTGTGGAGCGAGTTCGTGATCCTTTCTTGTGGGTGTCCTCGCCGTCGCGGTCCTTCTGCCAGTTCTGCCTTCTGTCCTCGTGGCCGTCGCGGTCCTGCTGCCAGCTCTGGTCGTCCTTCTGGTGGTTGTAGTTATTCTGGTAGTTGTTGGCCGTCGACCTGCCACGCGACTGCCTTCTCCAAGGCCAGGGCTGCGCTCCGACTGGCGGTCCCGATGTCCGCTGCTGCGCCATCTCGTTCTGCTGGTGGCGCTGGAACTGCTGGTTGCACTGGTGCTGCTGTGCGGAGTGGTGCTGGTCCAACACCTGCGCCGCCGAACAGAGCCTCAGCAGCACCCTGGCCTCTGCGCGCTGCTGCCTGGCGCGGCGGTGCCAGGCAGGCTCGCCAACGGTGCGCGGCGTGGCGGCCGCCTCCAGCGCGGCCTGGCGGGGGGCCAGGCGTCCGCGCTCGCCGCCTCCTCGCAGGTGGCGGGCCGAGGGGGCGGCAGCGCGGCGGCGCCCGCGGGCGTGCGGCTGCAGCGGCTGCCGATTGCAACCGCCGCGGCGCGCGGCCACGAGGGGCAAGGGGCGGGCCGCCGACGACGACGGCTGGCCCCGCTCTCCTCAGCCCGTGGCTGCGGGCCTTGAGCCAAAATGGCTACGGACTTGAGCCAAAATGGCTACGGACTCGCCTCCTCCCTCCTCCTCCTCCTCCTCCTCCTCCTCCTCCTCCTCCTCCTCCTCCTCCTCCTCCCCATCGCCCTGCCGGGAGAAAGGGCTGGCCCTTCTCGTCGGTGCCCGTCCACTGGCCACCTCACCGATCCCAGCCAGGCCCACCCTGGGCCCAGGATCGGTGCCTTCGCCGCCCCCGCCAAGCCAGCGGGGCGTTCCAGGGCGGCGCCTCGGCGCGGGGCAGCGAGCTCGACGAGCATCGATCTGGGCCTCGCTCGAGTTTTTGCCCTGGAGCGCGGTGGCTTCCCCAGCTGGTGCGGTCGAAGTCCCCGCGCGGATCTCTTGGATCGGCGTGGCCCGCGCGGATTTCCTGGGTCGGCGCTGGACCCCCGTTCTCGTTGGCGCGCTTCGCGCGCTTGGGGCAGCGCTGGAGGCGGGGGGGTTCAGCGCCGACCGAAGACATTCGCGCAAATCGCCGATACTTTCATGATTCTGCGTTCCTCTATGCGATGCTCCCTCCCTTGGCCTCCTCCTCCTCCTTCTCCTTCCCCCGACGACGACCAGACAGACCCTCCTTCTGGACGGCGAGATTCTCCTCTTTCCTCCCTCCTCTCTCCTCTGGGACGGCGACGATATCCTCCACGACGGCGAAAGCGAACTTTTCCTTCCCTCTCCTTTCCTTCCGGGACGACGACGAGGTCCTCCCCGCGCCGCGACCTGCCGAGGCGGGGGCCGAAGGGGGACGTGATCGGCGTCGTGTGCGTCGGGCAGGACGTGACCGAGCTTCAGATCCAGCGCCGCAACGCCGAGAGGATGGCGGCTCCCTGGAGGGAGGGCGAGGAGGAAGAATCGACCCTCGATTCTCGATCTCTCCTCCTCCTCATCCTTCACCGCCCTCGATTCTTGATCTTCGAGCTTCGATTCCTCCTCCTCGTCGGCTCTCGGTTCTCGGTGCCTCCTCGTTCTTCCTCGGCCCTCGGTCCCCGAGGCGGAGCCGAAGGGCCAAGACTGGCATGCACGCAAGCCCTCGGAGGCGGGCCCCGGGCCCCCCCCCTTCAGGGGAGGGCGGCTCAGCGCCGACCCGTGGCATCCGCACGGGCGTATGATGATGCTGCTGCTGCTGATGTGATGAGGAGGATGAGGATGAGGATGAGGAGGATGGGGATGATGATAATGATGATGATGCTGCTGCTGATGATAATGATGATGATGATGACGACGATGATGATGATGATGCTGATGATGATAATCATGATGATGCTGATGATGATGCTGATGATGCTGATGATGCTGATGGTGATGCTGCTGATGATGATGCTGATGATGCTGCTGATGACGATGATGGTGATGCTGCTGTTGGTGATGATCAGGATGATGCAGATGATGATGCTGCTGATGATGATGATGCTGATGATGATGATGTTGATGATGATGATGCTGATGATGATGATGCTACTGCTGATGCTGATGATGCTGATGATGATGGTGATGCTGATGATGATGCTGCTGATGATGATGATGATGATGATGATTGTGATGATGATGATGATGATGATGATGATGCTGATGATGCTGCTGCTGATGATGCCGCTGATGATGCTGATGATGTGATGATTATGCCGCTGATCATGCTGATGATGTGATGATGCTGATGATAATTATGCTGATGCTGTTTATGATAATTCTGATGATGATGCTGATGATGATGATGCTGATTGTGATGATGACTATGCTGATGCTGCTGCTGATGATGATGATGCTGCTGATGATGAGGAGGAGGAGGATGCTTCTGCTGCTGCTGATGATGATGATGATGCTGATGCTGCTGCTGATGGTGATGCTGCTGATGATGATGATGAAGGAGGAAGAGGAGGATACCCACGGTCTTGGGTGACTGACTGCTTTGGCCAGGCCCGCAAGTTGAACGCTGCCTTGTTCTGCCGAGTGCCTCGTCTGAGTCTGGGACGCCCCTTCCGACTGCGACGACGTTCTCTGCGTGGGCTGACCTGGTCTATCTCAAGAAAGACGAGACTCGGGTGCGACCGTCCCCAGCAGCGTTGGTCCGGTTCTCTTGTTGAGAATAAGCAGTGCCCATGAGTCCCGAGCACGGAGGCAGCACCTGGCTGACCTCCACCAGCAGGTGTTCGACTCGGCCCAGCAATCTGCGAAACCAGCCAATGCGGCAGCAGCCGTCAAAGCCGCTGCGGCCTCAAGGTGGAGCAGGCGTGGCAAAGGTGTAGGCGCCGGTGCCAGCGCCCGACCCCCCCGCCCCCGCCCCCATGCCCGTCGTCCGGCAAGGTACGGTCCGTCTGCCTGGAGCGAGCGGCCACAGGCGCGGGGACGGATTTCCGGGGCAAAGGCACGGGTCGGGAGAGCGACACGGACGCAGCATGGACACCAGTGCCAGCGAGAGCGACCCCCTGCGCATGGCCGCCCCTGCCCAGCATTCTCACGGGTTTGAACACCGAGGCCTTCGCTTTACATCAGCTCATTGGCATCAGTTGGCACCTTCAGCAGCAAGGTTTCACCAGCAAGGTTTCGCGTCTCCCCAGCAGCAGTGTACAACGTGGCCTGCCAGCCCGATGAGCCGATCAAAGACTTCGTGGTTCCTCTGTGGCTACCCCGCTGCCGCAGGTCACAACCGTGGCCTCGGACCCAGGGCAAGATGTCCCGGGGCACGTGGTCGCTTGGCTCACCTGCCAGCCTGGGGAACAGGGCGGCCTGGACGGCTTTCTGCGCGCAGCACAGGCGTGGGCACATTTCGGCCCCAGGAGGAGGAGGAGGAGGAGGAGGAGGAGGAGGAGGAGGAGGAGGAGGAGGAAGAGGAGGAGGAGGAGGAGGACGAGTTCGCCCGCGGGCAGAGGCTCATGGATTCCATGCGCAAGCGGGGCCCCAGGCCCCTCGCCGCCTGCCCGTGCGCAGGGGCAGGAGGCGCTGCCCCGCTCGACTCGCCCGTCCTGGCCGACCCTGCGCGAGCCCCTCGCCCGCAAGAACCCAGCCCCCCGTTCTCGGCGACAGTGAGCTTGAGGAACTGGCCAGAACCCGCAGTCTGGCTGGGGCGGCCCCGCCGCCAGGCCCTGCGCCGAGGAGCCAGGGGGGCCTTTCGCCTGGAGGCTGGTGACCCGCTTCAGCCAGGGCTTCTGGTCCACCGCGTGGTGGTCGACCATGCACGGAGGCCGTGCACCGACCTCGCCTCGCGGTGGCATCAGTGGAACAGGGCGCGACTGCCAGGAGGTGACACCGGGCACCTACTCTCGTGCCTGGACCCCTGCTCGTGGCCACAAACCGAATGCTCCAGCTTCATCGAGCCTGTCTACGGCGACCGTGTGCCCGACGACTTCCTTCCCGAGGGAGTGGCGTGGAACCGCGCGCCTGGGCTCTTCCCCGAAGCGGTTCAGCGCCGGGATGTGGGTTGGCTGGGCGCGCCGAGGGCCTCTTGGAAGCGTCCTGGAATTCATCCTGTGGGGGAGGGCTTCCAGGGCCTGGAGGGCTTCTCCGAAGGACTTAGGCGACCCGTTCTCCTCCTCTCCATCTCCTCCTCCTCTTCCTCCTCCTCCTCCATCTCCTGCTCCTCCCTCCTCCCTCTTCCTCCTACTCCTCCTCCTCCTCCTCCTCCTCCTCCTCCTCCTCCTCCTCCTCCTCCTCCTCGGGTCGCCTACGGCCCCGGGGGAAACCGTGCACCAGGGCCCCTATGAGTTCCCTGCTCTTGGTCAGGCAACCGCAAACATGGATCGAGGGGGCGTGGACTAGCGACGGGTCAAGTTTCCATGGGAAATCGCAGGTTTCCGTCGCCGAACGAGGCCGCACCGGCCGCATTTTGTGGAGGGCACCTCCCCGGATCCATGGATTTGGCGATTGCGCGCCCAACCCATGGATCGCTAATCCATTTTTTCGCCCGACTTGGGGTTCTCTTGCCCCTCTTGGGGACCTCTTGAGGGCCATTCTGGCCGTCTCGGAGGCTCTTGGGCAGTCTTGGGGCCGACTTGGGCCAGTCTGGGGCGTAGTGGCGAACACTGGATAACTGTTGATTTTTCTTCTTGAAGTAGTCTTGTGGGTTCTCTTGGGGCTCTCCCTGGGCGTCTTCGGGGCCTCTTGGGCTTTCCCGAGGCTATCCTGGATGCTCTGGAGGCCTCTTTGGCGAGTTGGAGCCTTTCTCCATGCCAGATGCCATCTTGGGCGTCTTGGAGGCGGCGGGGGGTGGATATTTGGCGGCTCCGAGGGCCCGTGAAGGGCCCTGGCGAGTTCCCTTTCCCGCCATCTTGCCGAATTTTCGACCCCAGGGGAGGGGCCCAAGCCCTCGTAAAACCAATGACTTTGGCTTCCTCGCCGCGGCCGTTTTGGACGCTCCGACCGCTCGCGAAACGCCCCGTCCAGTTCCAGGGGGAGGGGGTAGCGGAAGGGGTAAACCTCTCCCCGAAGGGGAAGAGGGAGGGGTGGAAGAGGAAACGCCTTAGACCACCACCTACGCCCAGAGGGCTGGTGGGATTTTTGACCCCAGGGGAGGGGGAACGGGGGAGGGGGGGACAGCAAGACGTCTCACACGTCTTCCCGCCTGGCACGCGGGGGTTGGTGGATTCTTCCTCCCTCCTTCCCGGTCCATCCTCGTCCTCCTCGTCGTCGTCCTGACGGAATCAGCTGTCACACCGAACCCTCCATTTGGAAACAAGCGGGTTTAAGCGAGCGAGATCGCAACCGATTCACTCGCGATGAAAACCACCGAGCGACCGACACTCCCAGCCTCTCCTCGCTGAAACCTGTTATATAACCTTCACAGACCACGATGCACGAGACCCCTGGGAGTACACGGCATGGACAGCGAGGCAGGTCCCTCGGAACAGATGGCTGCACCAGAGGAGCAGCACACAAGGCCTTCCTCCCCCCAGCACCGCAGCGAGAGGATCGCTGGAGACCTGCGGAGGCTGATCGACACGGCGAATGCGCCCATCTTCGGCATCGACATCCGGGGTCGTCGTCGTTGTCGTCGTCGTCGTCGTCGTCGTCGTCGTCGTCGTCGTCGTCGTCGAAATTTCATGTCAAAAAGTACTTATCAGTGATTCCCCGTACCTAGTGTTTTCTTCAATCGAAGTGTTCCTTCCGGGGCTCGCACCCTAGTTTGCCAAGGAAAAGAAGTCTTGAGCCTCGGACTGCGATTTTGGCTCCCGGATTACCATAACAACGGCTCCCGCCTGACATTTCTTCATACGAAATTGCGCTCTCGCGTGGGAGTTCCTCGCAATTCATGCACATGCAGGAATCTCGCTATCGCGTGGGACTTCGTCGCAATCTGTCCACGCGCCGCGCGCAGAACACTCAGGAATTGCTCTTTCGCTTTGGACTTCCGCTCGACTGATCTGGGAATCTCGCTATGGTTCGAGACTTCCCCTCGATTCATGCAGGACCCACGCTTCAGCGACCTGCCCGCTCGACCTGGCCGCCTGTTCCCGCCTTCCGACCCGCCCGCTAGGGTCTATCAGCCAGACCCGCCCGTCTGGGTCTGCCACTTGCTTTCTGCTCCTATGCCCCCCTCCTGCTAATCTCTGTCGCGCTGCATCCTTCTTTCTCCCCGTTGTCTCTTCCTTCCCCCCTCCGTCTCCCCCCCTGTTTTACGGGCTGCGCCAAATACACGTGGCAGGTAAGGATATATCCCCAAGGGCGGTACGATCGAAGACGAAGAGGGCGGCTAGCGATGGTTTGGGATATACGTCTTATACGGCGCGCTAGCAGATAAAAGCGAACAGCCTTACACATGTTCTTATGATTGTTGTTGCCTGGTCGAGGGGCTGAGCCAATTACACGCGGCAGGTAATGAAGATATACCCCCAGGGGGTACGGTCGATTACAAAGAGGGGGTGTATCAAGGATTTGGGCTTTACGTGTTGAATGGCACGCGAGCAGGCAAGAGCGAACACGTTGAACAGTATGGAATTCTCATTCCTGAGGAAAAATATGTTTGATCCCCCCTCCCGTAACCATTATTTTTCAATGAAAGTGGTTCTACCAGGGCTCGCAAGGGAAGGTGAGGTGTCACCAAATTGTGTCTTTGTCCTTGGTTTACAGCAACAGCGTCTCCCGCCTGATACTTCTTCGCAAGTTATTTCAAAGTCGCGCTCTCGCGTGGGACTCCCTCACAATGTATGAAGGAATCGCGCTCTCGCGTGGGACTTTCTCGTAATTTATTCAGACGCCGCGCCCTCGAAGCTCAGGAATCACGTTTTCGCTGTGGATTTACGATGTCCTTGGGAATCGCGCTATCGCTCGAGCCTTCCTCGTGATTCTTGCAGGACTCGCATTTCAGCAAGCCTCCTGCTCGACCTGGCCACCTGGGCCCGCTTTCCGACTCGCCCATTAAGGTCTACCCGCCCGATCAGCCCGTCTGATTTTGCCACGTGTTTTCTTTTCCCAGCCCCCGATTATTACTACTGCTACTGCTACTACTCCTACTACTCCTACTACTACTACTACTACTACTACTACTACTACTGATCCAACTTTTACTTCCACTGATACTTCTACTACTACGGTTGCTACTACTACTATTACTACTACCACTGCTACTCTTATCACTACCACTACTACTGTTAATACTACCAGTACTATTAGTACTCGTACACAACTACTACGACTACTACTACGACTGCCACGACTTCTACTGCTAGTGCTACTACTACTACTACTACTACGTTTCCTACTATTATCTGTATCGCTACTACTACTACTACTACTACTACTGCTACTACTACTAGTACTACTACTACTACTACTACTACTACTACGACTACTACTACTACTACTACTACTACTACTATCACTACTACTACTACTACTACTACTACTACTACTACTACTACTACTATACATTATGACCTACTACTACTACTACTACTACTACTACTAGTAGTAGTAGAGTAGTAGTAGTAGTACTATACTACTAGTACTACTACTACTACTACTACTACTACTACTACTACTACTACTACGACGAGTACTACTACGACTACGACTACTACTACTACCACTACTACTACTACTGCTACTGCTACTACTACTACTACTACTACTATTACTACTACTACTACTACTACTTCTACTACTACTACTACTACTACTACTACTACTACCACTACTACTACAACCACCACTACCACCACGACGGCTTCGATTATTTCTGTTGGAGCGGGTACGAGTCGTCCCTTTACGACACATACTAGTGCCACTCGTTATTGTAATCCTAATGCTCGTGCTACTGGTACTGCTACCAGTACTACTGCTACTGCTACTCGTAGTGCTGCTACTCGTAGTGCTGCTACTGCTACGGGTGCTCGTGTTATTGATACTACTCCGGCCACGCTTAGTTAGGGTAAGTCTCGTGCTGCTAATGCTGGTGCTGATACCATCACTTCTACCACTACGTGCATGAGAACTAGTACTCCTGCGAAAACGAGTTTGATGATTAGTAGTGCTACGAGTACTCTCACGGCGAGTACTATTGTTACTGCTACTGATACTCGTACATGTGTCACTGCTAGTGCTGCAGGTACTATTGTTATTGCTACTGCTGCTAGAATTACTGCTACTGCTAATAGTACTGCTACGCTCTTTAGTGCTACTGCGACTGCTAGTGTTGCTGCTGCTGCTACTGCTGCTGCTACTAGCTCTACTGCTACTTCTACTAGTGATGCTGCTGCTATTGCTATTATCAGTACAGGTGCTGCTATTGCTTCTCGTACTGCTGTCACTGCTACTGCTACTCGTACAGTTTGTACTGCTACTGCTACGAGTACTTTTGCTGCTGCTACTGCTGTTCGTACTACTGGTGCTGCTACTGCTATGGTGGTGTTGGTGATGGTGATGGTGATGATGATGGCGATGATGACGGCGGCTGTGGCCTCGGTAGTGGTGGTAGTGATGGTGAGGAGGAGGGGGTGGAAGAGGAGCAGGATAAAGAGACGGAAGAGGAGCAGGAGGAGGATGAGAAAGGAGGAGAAAGAGGGGGAGGAGGAGGAGTATAAGGAGGAGAAAGACGAGAAGGAGGACAAGGATGAGGACGTGAAGGAATGAGGAGACAAGGGGGAGGATGAAAAGCAGGAGTCGCAGGGACAAGATGAAGGGGACGAATCGGTCAGGTCGCCCCCATGGCGAGAAGGAGGAGGAGAACGTAAATGTCAGGACGAAACGGATTCAGCTGCTGCTGCTGATGCTTCTGATTCTGATGCTGGTGATGACGATGGTGATCATTATGATTACCCCCCTACTATTTCTGAGTGGGAGGGTGGGGTTCACTTTGTTCGGGAGCTCCCGAGCGAAGTGACCCCCACCCCCTCAGAAATCGTGGGAAATCGTGGGGGGTAGGGGTAGGGTTTGCATGTGGCCCCCTAATGGTGGTGGTGGTGGTGGTAGTAGTGCTGGTGGTGGTGATTATGAGGATGATAATGGTGATGGTGATGATGCTGATGGTGATGATGATGGGGAGGGTGGCGGTGAGAGTCATAATGGTGATGATGATGGCAACGAGGAGAAAGAGGACTGTAGATTATGATGCTGTTGCTGATGATGATGGTGGTGGTGGTGATGATGATTATGATGAAGATGAGGATGCTGATGATGATTCTGATGACGGCGGCGGCGCTGGTGATGATGATGCTGATGATGAGGATGGGGATGACGATGATTATCTGGCACCCAGGAGGGTGTTTATGTTGATTTTGGTGTTGATGATGGCGATGATTGTTCTGGGATGGTGATGCCGATGATGAAGACGATATGATGATGGTGGTGGTGATGACGATGGTGGTGATGCTGATGACGACGTTGAATGATGACGGTGACGACACGGCGATGTTGGCGATGATGGTGATGTTGATGATGATGGGGATGATGATGATGCTGCTGACGTTGTTGTGATGATGATACGACTGCTGCTGATTATTACGATGCTGCTGCAGGTCACGACTACGACGATCCTTTTGTAGGATGATGGTGATGACGATGATAATGATGATGATGAGGGTGATGATGCGGAGGATTGTGGCGTTGCTGCTGCTGATGATTGTGATGATGAGTCGGGGGATTATTGTGCTGGCGACGCCGATGATCGCTATGGAATGTTGGTGATGATGCGGATGATTGTCATGATGCTAATGATGCTGATGGTTCATATTATGGTACTGCTAGTGTTAATGATGCTGTCGTGAATGCTGACGATGATGATCAGCATGCAGATTTCGGTGTTGGCGATGCCTATTATCGTAATGATGAGATGGGGATGATGATGATGTTTATGATGATGATGGCGATGCTGATGATGCTGATGATGCTGCTGATGATGATGATGCTGCTGATGATGCTGATGATGATGATGCTGATTGTTATGGTGGTGGTGAGACGATGATGTTGTTGATGCTGATGATGACGACGATGACGATGATTGTGATGATGATGCTGTTGATGATGATGCTGATTATGAATCTTAGGATGCTGCTGCTGTTGATGATACTGCTGGTGGTGATGATGCTGCTGATAATGATGCTGATGCAGACGACAACGATGATGATGATGATGATGATGACGGTGACGATCATGCTGGTTATGATGATGATTCGGATGATGATGCTGCTGATAATGCTGATTGTGGTGGTTATGACAATGCTGATGATGATACTGCTGATGATGACGATGATGATGACGATGATGATGCTGACGATGATGATGATGCTGATGATGTTGCTGGTGCTGGTGATGATGTTGCTGCTGCTGATGATGAATACGATGCTGAGTTTGATAATGATAATGCTGATGATGCTGACGCTGATGATGATGCTGATGATGACAGCGATGATGATGATGCTGATGATGATGATGCTGATGATGATGGTGCTGATGCTGATGGTGATTATGATGATGATGGTGCTGGAAATGATGATGAGGAGGATGAGGGTGATGATGCAGACGATGATGATGATGCTGCTGCTGCTGATGATGATGATGATGATGATGATGATAATACTGACGCTGATGAGTATGCTGATGATGTTAGTGATGATGAAGATGCTGTTGATGATGACGATGGTGGTGATGATGATGATGATGATGCTGATGATGATGATGTTGCGATGATGCTGATAATGTTGGTGGTGGTGACGCTGATGATGATGATGATGCTGATGCTGCTGACAATGACGATGACGATGATGCTGATGCTGATGATGGTGATGTTGATGGTGATGACGATGCTGATGATGATGTTGATGCTGCTGAGGATGATGATGATGATGATGATGATGATGATGATGATGATGCTGATACTTATGATGCTGATGCTGAGGTTGATGATGATGATGCTGATGATGATGCTGATGCTGATGCTGATGCTGATGCTGCTGCTGATGATGATGATGATGATGATGACGATGATGATGGTGGTGGTGATGCTGATGATGATCATCATGTGGAGGAGGAGGATGAAGAGGATTATCATGATGATCAGGTGGAGGAGAAGGTTGAGGAGGAGGTGATGGAGGAGGTGTTGGAGGATGAGGAGTATGAGGGGAGGGGAAAAGGGAAGCGGAGGAGGAGGAGGAGGAGGAGGAGGAGGAGGAGGAGGAGGAGGAGGAGAGGAGGAGGAGGAGGAGGAGGAGGAGGAGGAGGAGGAGGAGGAGGCGGAGGAAGAGGACGAGGGCGACGAAGACGAGGAAGAGGAGGAGGAGGAGGAGGATGAGGAGGAGGAGGCCCCCGTAGAGGTCAGATCACCGACTGGAATCGAAAGATGGACGAGCTGTCCGGCTATTCCGCAGAAGATATCATGGGCGAGAGTTTCGTGAAGATCGCCCTTGGGGAGGAGCGCACCCATTGCAGGGCACAAAGGAGGGAGCTTGGAGGCTGGGCTGGGGAGGCCCTTCCTCGTAGCCGCCACCGTTCTCCTCGTCGTTCTTCCCCCTTTCATTTCCCCCTGCACTTCTCTTGTCTCCGCCTTGTTCTCGCCGCCGCCGCCGTCGTCGTGTTGGTCGTCTTTGTCGTCGTGGTCGTCTTGGTCGTCGTTGTGGTCGTGGTCGTGGTCACGGTCGTGGTCAGTGTGGTCGTGGTCACGGTCGTGGTCATCGTGGTCGTCGTCGTCGTCGTGGTCATCGTGGTCGTCGTCGTCGTCGTCGTCTTCGTCGTCGTCGTTGTCGTCGTTGTCGTCGTCGTCGTCGTCGTCCCTCGTCGTCCCCCTACTACTACTCCTTTTCCTCCTCTTCCCCCTGCCCTGTCCCCGTCGCTGCCGTCGTCCTCCCACCCTCTCCAGCTCCGCCTGCCGCCTGCTCCCGCCCGCGCTGATGCTGCCCCCTCCACCCCGCAGGAAGGAAAGGACACGGTCGCCTACGTGCTCCTCAACGCGTTGTCGGGCGAGGAAGCGGCAGACATCCCGTTCCCGCTGCTGTACCGCCACGAGGACGGCACGCAAACCCAGAAAGATATGCTGATGAACGTCACCCCCAGGCGCGGATCATCCCCACCCCTCTCCTCTCCTCCTTCTCCTCCTCCCTCGCCTCCTCCTCCTCTTCCTTTTCTTCTTACTCCTCCTCCTCATCTTCCTCTGTCCTCCTGCCTCCTTCTCCTCCCTCCTCCTCCCTCCTCGGGCTCCCTCCGCCCTCCTCCCTCCTTCCTCCTCCCTCCTCTCTCCTTCCTCCTCCCTCCTCCCTCCTCCTTCCTCCTTCCTTCTCCCTTCTCCTCTACCGTCCCTTCCAGCTCCCCCTGCCTTCCGCGTGATGTACACGCTGGAGGGCCAGGACCCGTGCGCAAGGAAGCCCTGGAGTGCAGGGGGCCTTGCTGGCTGGGCTTCCAGTCAAAGCTGGTGGACAAGAACGGGGCCGTGCTCTCCTCCTCCTCCTCCTCCTCCTCCTCCTCCTCCTCCTCCTCCTCCTCCTCTTTCTCTTCCTCCTCCTCCTCCTCCTCCTCCTCCTCCTCGACGGTTCGAGCCAAAGGCCAATGGGGGAGCGACGTGGGAGCTCCCGGGCCAGGATGGTAGGCGCCGCTGTGCAGCGCTCCGTGGTCGTGGCGGGGCCTCCCTGGAGCGCGGAAGCTGCCGCTCGGGTTTGCCGTGAGCGAGGCCCCGCCCGCGAAGTGTTCGGACAAGGTCGTGCAGGCCTGAGTGTTCCCGGACTGGGGGCGGTGCCCGTGCCGCTCGCGCGCCGCGCCAGCCCTGGCCGCGTGGCGCGCTGGAGCGAGGGATCTGAGGAATCGACGTAGTGGACTGGGGGGTGGACTTTGTGAAGCCTCTGGGGGGACACGTCTAGTTGGAGTCCTCGGTGCACGGCCCTCGGTCAGAGTGGTATTCCCCAGGTTGTCAGAAGGTGTCATGGGGCGTTGCGGGGCCATGTCGTATGAGGGGCTTCGGCTCCGAGTGCGGGGTGTTGGCGCTTCGCCTCGGGTGCGTGTGCCGACCAGCTCTTTGGGTCAGCAGAACGGTTCAAGACAGCCTTCCCTCCTCACCGCCTTCCTCCTTCCTTTCCTCCCCCTCCTCCCCCTTCCCCCCCTTCCCCTCATTCTCCCCCTCCCCCTCTCCGCCTTCCTGCTCCTCTTTTCCCCGCCCGTGCCCCCGTCCCCTCCCTCTCCTTCCCGCTCCCTACCCCGCCACTTTCCCGCGTGCCCCCGACCCCCTCGCGTGCAGGGGGGGGGTCGGGGGGCAGGGAGGGCGCAGGGGAAACGGCCGCGGCGGCGGTGGCTGCCGTGGCGACGACGACGAGGCGTGGGCCCGACGGCGACATCACTGGCGTGATCGTGGTGGTGCACCACGTGACCGAGGTGCAACACCTGGTCGCGGAGCAGAGGGGCATCGCCGAAGACCTGGCCATCCTGATCCGGACCGTGAGGGCGCTGATCATAGGTGCGAGCGCCTGCCGATGAGGAGGAGAAGGAGGAGGAGGAGGAGGAAGAGGAGAAGGAGGAGTGAGAAGAAGGAGGAACGATGAGCGATGAGCG